TCATTCTGTTTCTTTTGTGATGCACATTTGTGGTGCCAAGTTTGAAGAACACTGCTCCAATATTTCTAGAGATATTCTTGATTCAGTGTTTTACTGTTCCAGTGGAACCACCTATGACGTCATCGCTTTCCTCATTTGCATAATACAAAAACGTAAATATCTCTAGAACGAAAAGAGATATTCCAAAAAGGGAAACGCCATTCTTCTTTACTTTGAAAAGCCTTTCAAATAAGCAGCAATTATTTTTTACTTCATAGGCACTTTAAGTGGAAAATAAACACTTCATGTTCATGTAAAAATAACCTTTGACCCAGAGGTCATCTTTCAGTGCTTCAGCTATCAGTTCTGCTCCATGATCATTAATGAGTGGGTTTTTACAGATTGTTATTCTCCGAAGTCCTGGCATTCTGTCAAGATCTGGACGGCGATAACGTAAGCTGTCTTGCCAAGCAACACTGTGGCGTCTTGTGGCTTGATGCTTTCATGTAACAAGGAAACATACAAGAAAGTTAGAAATACTTTCATTCATGAAAGAACAAATTGAACCTCTGGTTTTGGAGATCTTTGCTTGCATATAATTATTCAGTTGATGACTTAGTCATGACCCCAGGCACAAACAGTACAAGCACATTTTTTTAACCTCCATGGCACATATACAATCGACAACAAACAGATCTATCTCCTTCTAAAGGGGCAATTTTTCAGGTCTTGATGGTGTCTACTAACAGAAGGTTTAACTGTAACTGTATTTCATTCATATTAACCACAACCACAAGACAAGATTAGCTCTGCACACAATTGTATAAAAAAGATTGTAAGTTATGCCTAAAATTATCAGGTTAAAAACTGACCTCTGCATCCCTATCATGCACTCTGGCCCACCCTTAACCGGTGAAGCATTCGATTACAATCCACAATGGCAGCATCAATAACCTGGTCTATTGAGCATTCTGTTCCAAAATAATGCCTGCACTGCAGCCCACTAAAGGTGCGCATGTCTTGATATCAACAGTAAAGGGCAGTCTTGATCAAAGTGTACTAAGTACCGCTTACCCTTATAACTTTAGCCAGGGTATCAGCTCCTCTCCAGGTTAGACTACAGCCAGAGAAGTTCACAGTCATCAGTGAAGTGTTATTCTTTATGGCATTACAGAGGACTGCAAAATAAAATCAATGCATCTTGCATCTCAAGCAACAAAGTGGCCAAGAAATAAGCATAAGAGAACTGTCCCAGGCCTAAAAACACCTCCATGACTTAAGATTCAAGAACTTACTTTCAACACCACTATCTCCAATCTGGCAAAATTCCAGAGATAAATGTTGTAGAGTTTTGTTCTTGGCTATACCCTAGAAGAATAACAGAAATTCAACATAAATTTGCCATTTTATGGGAGCAATTTTGGAAAGTGAAGGAGCTAAATGTTACAAAAAAATCATAATTATGTAAATGGCCACATTTAGTACCTTAGCCAAGCAAGTCAGGTCTCGCTCTCTCAGTGGAATTCCTTGGAAAGTTACAGACTTCAAGTTCTCAGTGACACTTAGACATTCTTTGATAGTTCTGCATAATCATAACAGAAAAACATGCTTTTATTGGTAACTAATAATCACTATTAATAATGATTCAAACATTTTTTTTAGAAGTAAATTATCATATCCTGCCATACATGTTTCAAGCTCTGTTGATCAGCGAATTGCAGGGCTGCCATTAAGGGTCGTAACCCGTAACACCTGTCATGGCTGAGTATGCTTGATTTTCTCTTGATGCAACAGGTGAAATTGCCTGTTGTTGATAGTATTCACCCACAACGTAACAAGTTTGCTATGAGTGTGGAGGACAAGGCTTTAGGTGACTCAAAACTTAATGACAGCCCTAAATTGTAGTTTTGTCAAAAGGGAAGACACTGGGAAACCAATATTTTATAACAAACCAGTACCTGCAGACTCTGTATGTGACATCCTTGCTGCGGATTGGAGGAGCTCTCTTCCTCAATGCCTGCAAACGTTGCTCAGATACTTCTGGTAAAATATAAGATCAAACAAAAAGCACCGTCTTGAAAAATTATGTCAAGGAATGCCAAGGAAGTCTGTAAACTGTAATTTGGAGTTGTTAGCCAGGTCCCATTTCAAAGACACTCATACGGCACATCCCACGCTAAGGATTCACTATGGCAACAAGTGAAGTGACCAAGGTGCATTGCCAACATGTGCCAAGCACAACCTTCAATACACACCAACAAAAATACGCCTAAGACTAAATGATTGTCTATATGTGACCTACGGCACACACTTTAAACCCATACCAGAAATCTTTAGCATAACCTGCATATGAAACCCCCAGGGGTTGACCCAAGGAGTGGCACTACCCCCTGTTCCCATCCAACCTTTCCCCCACTCCTGGTAGCTCTGTCCTGAATCTAAAATCTACTGATCTTGTAGCACTGAATAGAGGTTAAATAAAGGAAACGGTTATGTACCTCCATCCGGATATAACGTTTGTTGCCAGTAACTCCTGAAAGCTACGGTTTTCAAAGTCTTGTTGATCTTCAGTGCGTTCAAGATTGGAGTCCAGTCAGAATGGCGAATTCGATCGGCATTGCAATCTATAGTAAGTTCATCTAGATTCGCAGTGATTGATCCTAGAGGACAGGAGTTCTGTAGAGCGCAAAGATTATCGTAGCACGACGCGAAGTCCACGGAGTTCTTTTGCCGTTGACGCACGGTTTCAATCATGGCCATATTTAATTTGCCGCGCGTTTTTCTCCACCAATTAGCCTCAAGGACTTTGCAATTGTTATGATGACTTTAGCAGCAATGAAAACACTGTTGTTCCATAACAGATCTGTAACAAAACCTTGATAAACAATCCCACAAAACTTCCATAACTTCTTATAATAAACTTGTTGTTTTCTAATCCAACGGTTCTCGACAAATGAGCGCTGAGTTTCGCCACTTGATCGCGGGCCCAGGGTAATCCGCAGTTCTCGAAGCCAGCGGAAACACTGTTAATTCAAAATGGCGCACTTGAGCAGTGATCCTTCTTCAAAAGACAGGTAAAGATTTCTTTATTACAAAGTTAAATCAGTACCGAATTCCGAAGATTCAACGTAATTTTACACTATTTTGTATGATTTTTTATTCCAGGTGGATCATAGTGTACCCAGCTTATTTGAATAGCAGAAGAACAGTTCAACAAGGCAGACGTGTCCCGAAAGATAAGGTGAAGAAAACATTAAGGCTTGATATTATTCTTTTGTTACATATTTCTCTTCATTTGATCAACGGATGAAAAGTTCTTGAGAATATAAGACATGACAAAATTTTCCTGAAAAGAGCCGACAAGAAATAAGAGTGCACTAAAGCTTTTGCAAAGGATTCCGGCAAAAGAACCGGAGCGGTTCAATTTTACTTTCATCCACAATGCAAGGAAGCAAGGTATTTGATAAATGGACAGTTCCTTGCTCATGAATTGTAATACTGAATGTCATTAATTTTCACCCGTGATGTTCACAGCATCGGTTGACAGTTGTAGGTCTTGTATTGAATTATAGTTGAGTGATATTGTTTAAGATATTCCGTGGACAGCAGTGTTATAATTATATTCAGTATATTATAAAGCTTGGTTCAATGGCAGAGCAAAGTGACAAAAATTTGAGTGCATTTTTTTGCAACACTAACTCATTCAATATCCTATTGACAGGCTGCTGACAACCCCACAGTTTATGAAATAAGAGATGTATGCCAGAGTCAGGGACTCAATTGCGAATTAGAGGTTGGTGTTTAAAAAAAATCATTAGATGCCACTCAGCTTTGTTTTATTGGAAATCCTTGAATCTGATTGGTTCTCTCATTGTTTTCTATTCAACAATTAGATTATGAGCTCACAATTTCTACCACACGGTAGTTTACAAGGACTCAGCACGAGTTAACTATCACGCATAGAAATGTAGAGCAAATAATCTATTTGTTTTAGTATAAATCTACAAGTCGCTCAAAAGTTTATCTGAATCCTCTTCAGACATTTCGAAAACGCAAAGTGGCCACCAGTTTGTTTACAAGCACACATTGCTGGGGCTACTCATTATCTACTATGTTCAGAATAGATAGTGACTAACGTTGCCAGTCAGAGAATGGCATTTGTGATAGAATGGTAGTATATTTATACTAATCACTGACAGGCAACGGACTGCTAATTATATATAATACAGTGTAGGACTAAGAGAAAAGAGGGACTGCTTGTAGTCTGCAAGCAAGCTTGATTTGATTAGATTTTTTTTCGCACACTAATAAGGAACCTCCTTTTCTTCAATTCATTTAACAGATTTCGGATAAACTCAAATAAGCAATGCTATTTCTTCTCATTGTTGTTTCCAGAACAAATTTTATCCCAAGGATAGTGCTAAAGATGCTTTGTGCAAAGGCAGAGTGCGTGTACAACTGAAGCAAAGTGATAACAGCTTTATCAATGAGAAATTTCAATCAAGTGAGTGATGCTTGGTGTATAATAACTGTAGATAAATCTGTTCTCCTTCTGTTCACATTATAATCTTCCAAAATACAAGATACAACTTGTGGGAAAAAACCTGACTTTGCAGGCTCCCACTTTGTAGTATCCCATTGTTTTAACAATAATACTACTATTTTAATACTATTATTTCACTTTGACTCAAGTCAGGTTTAGGGCATTTTGTTTTATAGCCAGCACTTGGTCAACAATGCTCACTGGGCTAATGTAGTTATACCAAGAGTGATTATGTCGGGCTGGGGATGGGATACCTTGCACTGAAAAGAGATAATCGTATACATGTTGAGCTTTCCATAAATGTAAATAGCATAATATTTGTTTATGTATCATGCTTATCTGTTGTTGACTCAAGTTGTGCCTTAATTACAAACATAATTCAGTAGTAGACCTTCTAACCATTGGCAGATAATTTCTTTTTTTTTTGCCTTTAAAGATGCACTGTTATTTGTTTGCTTTTGACAGGAAAAGCCTTATTTCTATTTCTTGGTGAAATGATCCCCAAATTGAAAAGTCGTCAAAGCAAATCTTCACAAAGTGACAGTTCAGGTCAACAGCAAGGAGCTGGAGCAAGCTCCAAGAAGAAGAAAGGAAAGAAGGGCAAAGGAAAATGAAAAAACACTTGCTTGTATTTAAACAATTATTTTCGTCAAAGTAATAAAATATGTGTCTATGTACATGTGTATTTAATTCTTTGTTTTGTGCAACAAAGGAGTAGTTTGAAGAACACTTAAAATATAAAAGGACATTATTACATTGATACACAAATGTGCGAGTCAGAGCATTTACAGTAATGCTCGAAAGTAAGTTATCACCCTCTCACAAGACGAGAATCTTATGTCTCAAGGAAAGAGTCTTGTTTTGCAAGACAAGACTCGTCTTGTGTCATAATTTATTTACAACATGGCACAATATTATGGAAGTTTGAACGATTTTTTAACAATCCACAAGGTAGTTATTGTTGCTATCATATCTACATTCGGCTACAATAACCACAATTCCAATCACTTTCTTGAGAATGGTCTTGTGCCTTCAGGGAAAGAGTGTGGGTTCATTTTCCCAGACAGCAGTTAATATTGTGATGCCTACAATTCATGGCATAGATCTTTTTAATAACCATTTTGAAATATGTTTGTTTAACTAAGGGAAGCTGAGTAAACTGATATCCACAGTGGAAGACTATTGAGCATTTTGTATTTCACAGTGAAATTGTTGATGAGACATCAGACCAGGCATTAGGTAGATTCACGACAACTCTTTTGTCAGGTGGGGCATTTGACCTGAGGACTGCTGGATTCTTGTATGGGATGGGTGAAACAGGAGGGGAGTGCTGCTGATGTTGCTGTTTAGAACTGTCGAGCCTATTCATGGAAACTGGAGGATCCTGGAAGTGTACATGTGGAGAACTTGGGCGTGGTGGTTGAACTGAAAAAACAAAAAAAGTGATAGTTATTGTAAAATCAGAAAAAATATGCTGTGACCTTGTCCAACAGGCTTATTGCTTTAGTGTTTTGGGGAGGAGTGTTGGAAGGGGGACATTATTGTCATCAAACTCTTTTTTTTTTGCATCAGAGATTTTTGGAATAAGAAAATCAATTAAATGTAAGTTAGGTTTCTTCCATGGAGGCACGGTGGCCTCATGGTTAGTGCGCTCTTAGCTCGTATGCAGACTTTACCTTTAAGTTTCTTCCACGTCATCGCAGAGGACAAGATCTGAACATGTACTTTACCTTTCTTGCTTTCTCCTTTGTTCTGGTGTGCACTACCAACATCCCAGCTGCCAGTTTTGCCTGTCGAAGTCTTTTGCCTGTTGGCCAAGTTCTGAAGCCGTTCTCTGAGCTGATGATTAGCTGGAAGACCACCAATCATTCCCCTGGAAACTGGTACAAAGCCTTGGGATTTTGATGCATGTTCCATTTTTGGAGCTGCTTGGACATAAACTTGCCGAGGAGGCTGCTCTTGGTTCTCCTTCAAGTCAGATAATTCAGCAGAAGTTACAGCAGCAGCAGCAGCAGCACCTTGTCTTATGGACTCCGGATTCTTAACATACCTAGGGGAACTCAATCTTGAGTCCTCTTCAAGACCAGCAGGAGGCATTTCATGGGACAATCTGTGGGAGGCAGCTTGAGGTGGTTTTGGAATCCCCTGTGGAAACTCTTGTGGAACACCAGGCATTGGCTGGATAGTATTGAAGACTGCTGGCTGCTGGTCGCCTGCTGACTGAGAGGTTTGTACTTGCACCTGTGCATTAATGCTGGGTTGCCCTGCCATCTGAAGATGAGAACTGTACAAGGGTGAAACTGAGGATGATCCTGTGTGCATCACTGTAGTACCTGGTGGAGCTGATTGGTTTTGTACCAGTGGTATATTAGGAACACCAGTCACTATTGGTTGGGGTTTTGATGTGGTTGCTTCTCTGTTTCTAGCTTGAGTGAAATGAGCTTGGCTGGGAGGGTACATGACAATGTTAGAACTTATCTGTCCATGGCCAGGCATTCCATGATCGACACTAGTTGAACCAGAATAAGGATACACCAAAGGAACATGTCCATTGTGTGGCAACTGGGGAACTGACACTGCAGTAGGCATCACTGAGTGTTGCTGTTTAGTGTAATTCTCCATGGAAACTTGGATGTGCGGCTGCACAGAGTCAATGCTCGTCACTGGTGGATTGTGTTTGTGGGAAACTGGTGATGCAGCCATTCTACTCAAAGCAGAGTACTGTGATGCACTGTGATCCTGGGATGTTGCAAGAGGTATAAATGAAGGCTTGTTTCTACTGTCTGCTGTCAAATCTCTGCCTGTTCCAGTCCTTAAATTGGTTACTTCCTGTTCTTGCTTTTCATATGCTTGAGAAACTGGAGCCCCAGGTAGATATTCCAAGCTATGATTTTCATGTTGCGATGGACGGAGGGCATCAAAAGCTCCTTGCCTCAAGGCTACAGGGTTTAAACTGTACAAGGTGTTGATACTGCTGGATAATGCTTGATACTCATGGCTTCTCAAGACAGCAAAAAGTTCTCTCTACAATAAGAACAAGTATTGAAGCCATTATTCAATTTCACTCATGTTTGCTGGGGTAAAATGTTACAGCAACTCAGGTTTTATTTTATGCATATAATGATATATTCAAGTGCATGCCATCAGTACGTAGAGAGAAGAACAAGAATACTACTGTCCAAACAATCTTAAGTCCCCAGTGGATGCAAAGGAGTATGTTGTACAGATAAGCTTACAAACATGCAGCACTTTCACGCACTGTGTTGTGCACATCTTACAGTGTACTTACATCTTACATATGGTGCCAGGAATGGAATCACAATTCAAACAATTGCTGTGAAAACTGAATCACTCTTCTTGCTAAGGTGTGAGTGTGTTCTACACTGTTCTACGCCATCAGTGACATACATAAAATATGCAATTTTGTAATATTTTCAGTTGATAATTTCTGGAATCCAGGAACTTTCTATTTACCTGTAAGTATTGCAGCTGCTCATCTGTGGTTTTTCTGTATTCCAACAGCTCATATTGTAAAGCCAGGTTCTGTTCTTGTGTGTGGAGAATATCCTGAAAATCAAATCAGTCATAAGCTTTTGACGACACTATAGTGGTTACAGTGGGGGGTGCGCGACTTGGTCCTAGTCTAGTTCTACTTACCAAATATTAAGTGTACAATCATGAAGACTGTGAGACAACCCCTATTTTAGATGAGTTCAGTGCAGATTAAAACTGCATTGATTGTCAGTGCTTTTTGCTTCCCACAATAATTATGAAGAGTTTACTTGATGCAATAAGAGAAAACGAGACTGCAAAATCCAGTCATCTATAGATCACTATTGAGTTACAATACTTGCTATAGAGATTCCATTGTACGGTAAATGATGAAGATTTTTTTTAAAAGTTGGTTAAGTTGCAATGCAATACTCACATTAGTAAGGGCATCAACTAAAGCTCTCTGTTCTTGAAATCCCTGGAGAACTTGCTCCCTCATAACCATTTCTGCTTTCCTTTGAATTTCACTCTATGTGGAGACGTTGCAAATAAAATAATTGAAATTTATATATGAAGAAACTAAGATTGAAATTGTTCCAGGCTGAAATGCAAGTGACTGTTATGTATATAATAATAACTATTATTTTGTCATAATTTATTACATTGCTTGCATTATTTTAAACAATAGCAAAGAAGGACAGACAGCTGTTAAGATGTTCTTGAAAATTAAATACTACATAAATTATATACAGTGAACATGTATACAGTACTGTACCTCCTTCAAGTAACCCATCAACTTCGTGACGGCAGTGATAAGTGATGCAGTGTATCCACTGAAGCTGCCCACAGATGGCGAAGTCAGTTTTGTTTGCTGTCGACCTGTTTCAAGTTCATAAGCTGCTACTTCTGTTTCCAATTCCTCCACCATCTAATGGTAAAAACAAATTAAATTACACACACCTACGCACTATGTAAAAAATTATTGGATAGATCACTGTCGTTCAGATTTTACTAGACTACGACGTAACTATTCTTAAAATTGTACATTAGCTTATTTATGTATCTATCAAAAAAATTCCTGTAAAAATTGGAATAATTTTCAACAGGTATTTTATTGGAACTACTGTACTTGAATATGTTAGCTAAACAATAATGATTACCAATATTTTTATAATTGCATTAATTTATATTTACATGTATAATACAACATACAAACCCTTTTTAAGTCATCAAGACTTCGTAAACCACTTGATGAAGAATTAGATGTCGGGTTGTGACTCGGTTTAGCCGTTGTGTCTCTTTTGCTGGGTCCAGGCCGCTGATCTGATACTGCACTTCTTTTGAGAAAGCACAGTATGAATTCAGTATGACATCACATTGAAATGTTCTTAAATTACTTTTTTTTATACCTGGATGATTGTGCTCTAACACTGGATGGAATACTGTTGTTTGAAGTTGATTCTCCCATGGACACTAGAAAAGATAAAATCAATTATCATAATACTTATGACAAGTAGTTTTAAGGCAGACAATTAACAAAATTTTATGAAAAAAAAATTGTGAACTACTAACAGTAACTAAACAAAGTGGGAAAACTGCTATTTGCTACTGTAACATTTACTATAGAAATCACAGAGCCTCTGCCCTCTATTTTGTCTATAGCTCCTCAAGATAGCAAGCTTCTAAGCAAAATATTAACCGGTCACGTGGGACATGCACCAGCCAAGGGGTGGGGCTGGGGAAAGCCTTTCTTTCATGCTCCATGCTCACGTTGCTCTTGTGCTCAATGAAGAGAAATCACAGGTAAAAAACATCTGTGGACAGACAAGCATTTTACTGCAGTCCAGTTGAACTAAAAAAAAATGATTTATGATTTTCTCGCACCTGGTTTTACAAAGTTAGGCCCTCCAGCAATGACAGTATCTGCTGACTCCTGACTTAGAAAAGATGGTGGCTGACTAGCATGATCAGCAACCATAGGAAAGCTGCTGTGTTGTGCCACATGGTCAGAGCCACGCTCTCCACGGAAGGGTCCAGATCCCTCTTCGATGATTTTTATACCATCTGTTGAGGAAATGGTTGGTTGTCCAGCAGCAATGCTATCACGTGAGGGCACATTGCCTGAGCCATGCCCGGCATTTGAGTGAGGTGTACGGTTCTCAAGATATTTGTTCTGTTCTTCAGCCACGTATTGTTGAAATCTTTGAACGTCAAGCATGGGTTGGAAGGAAGAGGTTGTTTTTCTTTCATGGCCAGAAGGTGGTGTTCCTGGAGAAAACTCATCTGCATAATAAAATCCATACTTAATATTAATAATTGCACCTGTTGCCTTAGTTGTAGTAATTTAGCTGGCAGTAAACTCTAGATTCAATGACAAGTTAAGTTACTACACCTAGGGAGTGGCTCCCTCTACAGAAACATTAAAGTTTCCCTTAAAACATAATACAGGGGCCTATGAGTAATGCCCTAGGCCTACATGTAGTCTGGCTGATCACTGCATTGTGTGTTTGGATAAAATCTGTACTCCCACATTCCCTCTCCACTCCCAGACATATAAATGACCACCAACAAATAAGTTTAAGTTTAAGTTTAAGTTTAATAATACTTTGTCACGCTAATACTTATTACATTAATGGTCAAAATAGTTAGCCTGACAAAATCCTTGGGATTAACTCAGCAGAATAGTGTTTGTGAGTGGGACACATATTACGTTAGTGGTCAAAATTACAAGTTGGTCACTAAGTTCAATTCATGTATGAAAGATTTCATCAGATTCAATTGCTCTGACACTACAAATATTGTTTTAATAATATGCATGTATGTACATTACCTTGATTGTGGTCATCTTGAAGTTCATTCAAAGCTGGTGTTCTCATGACAGAATCACTCAGCAGCGATAGATGAGTTGGAGTCTCTGGCATTTCACCCAGTGGACCAGCTAGAAATCTAGCCACAGAAAGATGATTTTTAAAATCATGTAAGCAATGGTTTCATTAAGGGCCAGGCATGGGGCAAACTGATCGCCTGTGAGGATGATTTTGCCTGCCTACATGTAGTTTGACCATCTAAGGAAAGATTTTCTTATAAAGAAGTTTAGTTTCAAAAGTTTTGCCCACCTGTGAAAACTAGTTGTCCTCCTGCTTAAAACATTAATTAAAATCCTGTATAAGGTATATCATAAGAGATTATGCCTCGCTGAGCCACACCTAGCTAAATGTAGCTACATAGAAATTTGTTCACTTTTCCTACGTAAGGGTTCCAGGAAGGGTGAATTACTGATATTTTTTCAATTGCTTTGATACAGTAGGTACACAAAACACATCAGAATTCTTGACTGTATCATAATATTCAAATAGTGTTTGACTTTACTTACCTGTTTTCTTTGCCATTCAAAGCATTACTTGGGGCAGCAGTGATATTTGGAAATCCCATGAACTTCTGTAAATCGTTGAAAAATGATATATTTTAGGTGACCATACATGTACAATACTACAGCCCGAAAAATGCATTAGAACTACATGTAAAAGCAGGAATATTACAGAAAAATAACAAATAATATACTACATGTCAATTAACCATGTGGAACACCTCATCTTAAGGTTTTTGTTACCTTTGGATCATCACCAAACAAATCTTTCACAACTGACATAGCTTTGTCGGACTCGGACAACACCTCCTGAAACTTAAAAATTAATTAAAAGCTTTTTCAGGCAAAAAAAAAATAGTCAATCTGGATCAGGATCAGTGATCCAAGATTACTCAGATCAGAGTACATCAAAGGAACGGATGAATCCCTGACCAGAATGGATTCATCGGTTCCTTTGATGCACTATCATCCGAGTGATCTTGGATCACTGATCCTGATCCAGATCACCCCACAGGAATGCACCCTTAACATCATTTTTGCTGCTAAGGTTTCATACACAATTTATGTACTTAAAAATAATTATTTTTGATCTAGATGCTTTGTCCAACACCAAACAAATAGTCCAGGTAGCATTAATTTTTTGGGAAAAGTTTGCCCAGAGAAAGCCTTAGACTGGAAAAAAATATGGTTACAAAATATTTTTTTACCCATCCATATGTATATTAATTAACTATTGGTACTATGCTGACCAGTTGCTGTTACTTAAAGGAAGATGTCTACAGATTGTCTCAAAGATGTTGATCTTTTTATTGCTCTCTACAGTACATGTTACCTTATCCTGACCATATAAAACTTCTTGAACAATGGCCAGTTTCCGCCTTTCAACTGTATCTGGAGTCTGAATGGTGGAGTCTGGTGAAGCCACATTTTAAAACAAATATTATAGTTATTATTTTAGACTGAGATACTTGATACTGATTGCAAAAATCATGTTTTTAATAAAAGTACGAAATCTAGGGAAAACCATCAATTAATAAGTTTATATAAAGTTAGTACATTGTATACAGATCTATTTGTTTTTGCCATCCAGCTAGGTAGTTGGGCATTAACACACTAAAATCGTACCATAAGAATAAGCCACGCTCGATATATCAATATTCTAACATGGCTCCAAGGCTTTCAGGACAAACGTCTATATTTGGTGTTGTTTTCTTTGTATCCAAGTTTCTTTTGGGAATTGAGAGACAAAAGAAACTTACAAAATTTATAATTTTGACCCAAAAGCTTCAGAGCCATGTTAGAATATTGATACATCGAATGTGGCCTATTATGGTAAAATCTGGCATGGTCGTACCTATCATCCAATCACTTTGCAACTACTATCTTAACAAGCCCTAACTATATAATAACAATAAGGATACTCACCTAGACTTCTGTCCTTGACTTGACTCAGCAAGTGCACTTTGCCAGCATTTTTGGATTTGTGAAGTTCATGTCTTTTGATCTTCAAGAAAAATATCATGCACAAATTGAGGAGTAAAATTTTTAAGCACAGTTACAAGCTGAGCTTACAAACTGAGGTGCACTTGACAGGGATTCTGGACATGGGTATGGTTGGGGGGGGGGGTCGACTAGTGGTTGGTGTTAGGGTTGGTGTTATGGAAGTATCCAGTTACAAGTCTTCTAGATATGGAGGTGCCTTGATCGTTAAAGGCAAATGCACCATTAATTGTTTCCACAACCGATTGAAAATGATCTCTTGTTATTCATGAGAAGAATTCAGGTGTCTGCGGTCAAACATTGTCAAACTCAAAAGGTCACAAATTTGATACGAAGATATGTAGGGATTTAAACACAATTGCATAGATTTAAAATTATAAAACAGCTGATAAAAAAGGCGAAGGCCACTGAAGCTTAACGGTGCTCTAGACATGTAGCAGTCTGAATATAAACCTTATAATATGTGGCTTAAGACTTTAGCGCGGCTGGTATAAATTGAGTTTCACTAAATCCCACGACTGATTATACCTGTTCTTCTTTCGTGGCCTTGTGTACATTCAAGTCATTCACTGTGCTCTGAAAAAAAAAGATGTGGCAACCTCGATATGAACTAACTGACGTGTCAGAAAAGCGAGAAAAGTTTCTCGTCGTACGTTTCATAAAAATTATCGATCTCTAATCTCTGGATTCCCAGCAAAAATAATTGGCAAACGCCTCCGTAAACGCTACAGTACTTACGTCCCATTCCGGTTTCTTCTTCTTCCTTTTGGTTGATTTAGTTTGCTTTGAGGCTACGTATCTGACAGGGCGTCGAGGACGAATGTTATGATCTCCAACAAGAAATCCTCCTCTGGTCGCCATGTTTGATAATTTTTATTTCCCGCCTTCCAGTGGATAGAGCCCAGGCTCGCCTTGGCGGCGTCAGAAACGAGGCTAAACTAGCCCGGGAGCATAGCGTTGCGTGAAAGAGACGGGGCCAGAGCTGGACTATACCAGAGCCCTGTGTGGCCAGCCAGCATTACCTGTTGCCACCTCACGGCGGGGTCGACGTCAACGGGGTTGGACTTTGAGTGGCGTAATTTGCCTAGTACCCTAAAATAGCCATGAGGCGTGATTTATTATACTCAGTATGGTAAGTTCTTTGAGAGACAAGAACTGAGTTTTTAGTTGATGTGAAGTGTGAATCTTTTGGTCAGCGGAGTCATCAGTATGACACTCCACACTGAGACTAAAGCAAAACCAAGAATGACAATTCACATCTGAGTCTTTATCATTACCCTCCAAAAGTACAATTTCACTTCCAGAAAGCAGAACAGAACCAGTTTACTGCTCAGTCCACCCGCCCGGTAAATTGATTCGCTTTTTTAACTAATCCTTATTTCATTCTTTTTTTTTTTTAATTATCCCATTTTTTATCATTATTCAAAGAGATATCCAGCTGGACATCTTTCTTGTTAAAACCCATGTTTTCAGGAAATCAAGGAACACAAAGCAAAAATTTAGCTGTGAAATTATATGTGATTAGGAAATTTCTTGGAAAATTTCCGACATAAGATTATATATGTATACCTTCTTTACTTCTCCTGTATACATTTTTCTCGTACGACGAAAAAGTGATAGATAAATAAATAAGGCTAAATAAATAAATTGATTTTTTAGAGTGGTTTCTTTGTCTTTTATTGAACCAATGAAGTTGCAAACAACAATGCACGTGCTGGCTTCAAGTGCGTCATCAGGTGTTAGCTAAACACGTTTTCGTTTAAATTAACATACTTCTGTCGGCGTAGACAGTCTAATCATTGCGATATAATTAAAATTTATTTTATTAACTGATACAGTTCGTGAAACGAAGGAGCGCGGTCGATTTGAGGCAAGCAAGTGTCCCAGGTATGTACGATTTTATCAGGGATGGTGAAAATGGATGAAGGTAACCGATACAACTCAGAGAACGAACAGGCGGCTAAGCGTCGGCTAACGGCAGAGGAAATATCACGATTGCCGATTCCTTCTCGACCTATGTTTCAGGCTTATATTAAAGCGAACAATCTTTTAGACGAAACTGGTCAAGGATTACAGCCGAGTAACAATTCTTTCCTGGCCGATTTTGCCAATGAGCAAGGCATTCTTAATGTGGAGGAACCACCAGCCATTAAAAAGATTCGTCGATTCGTCGGTGAAACGATCGATGAAAAGAAAGAGGGTACATTTATTTCAGCTTTACCAGATGATACCGGAATATCTCTTGCACAATGTCAGCAGTCCCGACTGCTATGTCCTAACTACACATGTTCAGACCCACAATTCCAGGCAAGCTCATTTGGCCCTCGTTGCGCTGCCATAGCAGAACACGAGCGGTTCATTCGGTCCCAGGACTTCACCCTTCAAGCTGACCAAATCTCCCGAGTTTGCATAGGCCGCCGCAGGCACGCTATCTGCGAAGAACTGGACAATACAGCATGCTTCATAAGAAACCGGAGAATGGAGAGCTTTAATTTGAACAATATTTCTCATGAGTTAGCAATGCTAACGGGTAGCCGAAAAAGAAAGCGATCTGACATCGAAGAATATTGAAGAAAAATGCCTTTTGAGGTGAAATATAAATATTAATAACAATTTTAATTATAACAATTTTTAACTTTAATATAATATAATGTCTGTGCCAGGCCCTGGCCGCGACGTACTTTTGTGGATCAAAAAATACATATATTTATTAAACCAGTCTGACAAGTTATTGCTCGGCACACACTGATTCTCCGATTGGCTGAAAAAAAAAAAGAAATAGCGAAAAATATGTTTCATAGTTTCGGGCGTTTACAGTTGGATCAAGGTATGTAAATAATGTTTAAAACACTCTTGAAGACAGTTTAAGCGTGGTTTTCTAGTGTCTCGCGTTATTGCCCAGTGTAGATGCTCGTCCATAGATAGATTTAGCAGTTGAGTGAAATCCCGATTAGTAACGAAGCGCCAAGTGACTAGGGAAACGTGTTCGTTTATATATGGAGGTTCTTTATACAGACGTCCTGTTATATGTGGGTGTAAATGGCATGAACCATGCAAAAGTCATCATGGCCTAAAAATTAACCGTCAACCGTCAAATAAGAAAACATTTTACCTTCAGCCGTCAAAACAACCGAAAATGTAACCGTCAGTTGTATTCATGTATTTTAATCATAATTACTTTGACTGAATGATGAATACGTACGTTGTACGTATTAGGGAATTGTTAACGGGCCTCGTCATATCTGGATTCCGATTTATATGGCTTTGGTTATCTATGATAAATGCATGGCAAAAATTAAAGGGACACAATCAGCTGGCGCACATGCGCATTAGATACCATTTTATAGCAAATTTGCATATCATAGAGACGCGATCCGTACTGCTTTTAACCAAATATGATAAAATAATATCATAGGATGAGCAAAACCACACTCAAAAACAGGTTTTTCAGTAAATGATTGAAAATCAAGCAAGACACTGCGAAGATTGAAGTGGATTTCTAGATGCAGTTCGATTTCAGGTTGAGGTGAACTCTTTTCAAAGTGAAAAAACTAGTGTTCAGTCCAAAAGCTGACTGTGTCCCTCTAGGTTGGTCTGTCTATTAAAGTAGACGTAACACAATAATGTCAACACAACGACGTTAACGAGATTTCTTCCTATGTTGTAATCTTTGTTGTTGGGAGGGATATTCACGCATGAAGGACAATTTTTAAATATAAGAACACGAGAGGAGAGAGCCAGTGAGAGTGTCTAACCAAAAAACACAAGACAATGAAGCCCGGCTGGGCTCGAATCCAGACTGTAATAAGGCGCGAGCTTCTCGTGATTTCTCACCTCCAACTCGCTATAAGTAGATCCTCAACTTGTTAACGACATTTGTTATTATTGTTGTTGTTGATGATGTTTTAGTGGACTTTGAGAACCACATGTAGAGCGGCTAAGATTTACATGAGTTGAGATTTTTCAAAGTTTTATTATGCAGATAAGCACAGTTCACTAAGACACGAATACAGTTACGTCATAAATATAAGGCACCTACTTATCATTCTCTAGTATTTACAGGAAAGGTGAGTATTACAATGCGCTAAAAACAAAACAACAAGATGGTCTCTTCTTTAATCCTGACGTTGTGCCTTCCCTAGAAAACCTCACACGTTATTCTTTCGTTTCGATCACTGGAAGATATAAAGAAAACAAAACATTGTGTGAGGTTAGCTTAAAAAAACAACAACAACAGTTTACCTAGTTATTGCTAAGTAAACATATTACAAACGTGATCCGGGGTTTGAAGGGCTTGTGCTATTTTTACTAGACTACGAGCAGTCCCTCTTTCGTTTAGTCCGTCGTGGGTGACGCGAAAGAAAACCGCGAGGAAAAAAATGGCCGCGCGAAATCCTGGGGGCTCCTCGCCTCCAGGATTTTTCGGACTACTCGTAGTCTATATTTTTACCAGCACAAGTTGGAATTAGAAATTCCTACTGCAGTTACTGTGTAGTAAATGAAAATATCAATCCTGTATATGAGAATCTATTTTTTCTATCAACTCAAGCTGTTTTTGTCACGGGGTTTACATCAGGTGCAGCCTGGCATTGTTTTACAAACAATTCTTTCTTTAATTCGCCGCGTGAAACAAATGTTCCGGAAACACTGAAACGTTCCCAAAACATTAATTTTCATTTCCAAAACAAATGTTTCCCAAAATATTTCCGACACTCCAGCTGTTCATCCAGAACGTGCTCTTGAACATGTGCCGGACATTTACGATACAATTTTGGTTTCTTCACAATTTTCAAACGATCATCAATGCAGTCAGATAATAGGCTACTTGTTGACTGAACGAGAAGGCAAGATGGCAATATTTTTGTCCATTCTACAAGGATTTCATTTAGGTTTTGAGCAGGAAGGCAATAGGTTTTTACAGGCAGGCAAATATTTTTGAACTGAACTTCTTTATACGAAAATATTTGTGAAGACTTACCAGCAGGCAAAATTGTTCTCACAGCGGGTAAAACTTGTCGGACATCATTACCTTACTCAGAAAGTAAGCAACAAATTTAAACTTATGCGCACGCAAACATAGAGGGTATTACATGGTGGCGAGAAGATATGAATTTTATGTTCGAGTGGCAGGAACAAAAACATATCTTTGAGCTAACGTGTAATCTTCTTTTTATTGTAAAGACATACTGATGACGGGGTTATTGAGGATGTCCCGAAGATTTCCGACCACTTCCGAAGATTCCCGAAAATTCTCCAAAACTTGTTCGAAGATCACATGAACGTTTCCGAACATTTTTCGAAAATTTCCGAAGATTGCCGCAGACTTTCGGGGAAGACCCGAAGATGTTGCGATCATACACCGACGAATTTAAGTACAATTTAAGAGACAAACTTGATATCAGTGAAATCATCGATATCCTCATTAGTAAGGATATGGAAAATACGCCACCCGAGTCCCGGATGTGGTTTCGTATGAATTTTACAAGTGGTGTATTTTCCAGAAAAACACTCGTGCCCATATAATTAAAAGTTTTTATTTTTATTTTACCTCCTGGTATGTTGACTTTGTTGGACACTAACACATCAGCCTGTATAGCTGTCATGCTGACATACATAGTGTCTGGGTGAGACTAGTGGAGAGAAAACAAAAGTTAACTTCTAAAAGTCTTCTTTGAGGAAGTAGTGTTGGGGACGGGGCGGGGGGGAGGGGCGACCACGGCAAATGACTGAAAATTGGTGAAAATTTTGCTCTAGTTAGCTGAGGAATGACACGTTTTCTAACTCACAACTGAGATCCGATTAGTGAAACATTCACTGATAGCCGGGAAATGGACTAAAATTTGAACTAATAGCTGAGAAACCACCGAGTGTCACTGATAATTGAGAGTATAGTAGTTTCATCCATCCCTCTCCCAGTGCAAAGTTGCGCGTTGTCACCAGGGGTACTTACCATTTACATGGGAAAACCAGAAATTCCAGTTGGAAAATCAAATGGTTGGCGCCATTCCGTTTGGGAAGCTTCTGAAAATATGGGCTGTGATTTGAGGTGATGCTATTTTTCTGCTCTTTTAAGTCTCTCCAGCTGATGTGGATATAATTAATAGCGATTCCCTCTCCCGCAACGTCACATTCAACTGTTTAATATTTTTGCCTGAAATTTCCAACCGGATGGTTTCTGTAAATGGTAAGCACCCCAGGCCTCATTAAAGATGATTTCTAGTCCGTACTGCGCAGTCTCAGCACCCTAATGATTGTAAAAAATTTAAATCTCACCCGATGGAATGCGAATCGAAGTTATTCGTTACGAACCACATACCTTATCTTTGGGACCTTTCAAATTCTTTTCCCAACAGCTTCATTGATTTTTACAGCTGCGAGGTAGTTTCACCAAGTGATATGAGAAAGAACGAGGCATAAACAAACTCTCTTCGACCACCTCGCATCCATAATGGCGGTTGTTTTAAAACTTTGAATTACTTCATGTAAGTAATTGCAAAATGTCTACATTTTGTGATGTCTTACATGAAACAAAACAAAAAACGTAAACAAACTCTCGAGAATGCGCAGTACGGACTGGAAATTGTCTTCAAACAAGATTGCGGTTGCTTCCTTAAAATTTGGCTTGTACAACGTCGTTTATAAAAAAAAAATGACTATTGGCTTGAATTGGCGAATAACAACAGAGAAGTATGAGGCACTTACCATGAACTCTTCATAAAACGTGTCACCGAGGGCCTCGCGGACACGATCGTTCACAAGAGGAAATGATCGAACAAAGAACTGCGAAAAAATAAAAACAACAGCAATTTATTCTTATTGATGCGAAATAGAATTGTCCGAGCAAGAAAATCGATAATATTAGCTATATAGCGGGCATTTAACCACGTCCTTTGTAGGGAGGTTTTCCACACTTGAGTGAAAGTAAAATTTGTCCGCATTTGTTTTGGTTTTGGATATAAGACGCACAGCGATTGGCTTAAAAAAAAAACTCGCGCCACTCTTCGTCCAATCAAAAGTAAAAAGTAAACCAAACCCAGTCGTGACTTTCCCGCGCTTTGCGCCGGCTACATGAATTTTCTTCAGTTTTGATTGGTTCGCTAGATTGCTCGCATGTATCCTCTGTAATTGGCCAGCGTGATTACTTTGGTTTTGGTTTAACGACACGACACTCGATTGAAAACTGCTCTATTACACTGCTGATTATAAATTAAACTCTCTGAGGGGTTGATGTGGTTTCAAGCCTGTATTTACTTAGGTTGCATTGCGTTTCCTAATGAACTCCGTCTCTAATTCGAATTGGTTCAAAAAACGTCCAATGTACTCTAACAAATTACAGACAAAAATGTGCTGCTCCTTGAACCCGCGCTTGAATCCGGTAGTACTTTTCGCGACTCGTGATTGGGTAAAACTTTGCCCGTGCGTACATATAGTTAATTCCTGTAGTAGTAACAATCTTTTATTAGGAAGCTCCATCACTAAAAGTGGTTTACATAGAGGTCCTGTGCATGGTTACGGTACGCCTTGTAACAACGCGCAGGTAATTTTTTTGTGTGTGTGTCGAGGACGCATTAAAAACGCGCGTTCGATGTTCACCACCGATGTATACCACTGAACTGGGGCTAGATTTTCTCAAAGTACCTCGCAGTTGCAGGCAGTCTCAGCGCGAAGGACAAGCTTGTCATTTTTGAACGTCACGGATGTTTTTTGGCTAGTAAGTCACTAAACAGAAGGATAGTACAATATGCGTACAGTGGAAACTGTTTGGAAATATGGCCTGCAAGGACTCGGTATAACAGATACCTCCAAAGCGATGCCTGCTTGTCTCTGACTATCAGCATGTTGAGTGTTTCCCATGGCAAAAAGGAGACCGTGAACAGTGCGAAGCTGCAGAAAATAAATGATTTATTTAGTATTAACTAACATGACTAATCGTACAAGCTCCAAAGTGTATACAACTTAGACACAAACTGGTCATTTTACTCAATTGTACCTTCGAACTTTTAATATTACCCTAATCGGAGTTTTTTATGAAAGTTTGAAGTTCAATTATACCCTTATACCCTAATACCCTAATAACGTGATTCCCTAATACCCTTATACCCTAATACCCTAATGCTCTAATACCCCAATACCCTTATACCCTAATGCCATACCCCCTAATGCCCTAATACCCTTATACCCTAATGCCCTAATACCCTTATACCCTAATACCCTAACACACTAATACCCTAATACCCTAATACCCTAATACCCTAATACCCTAATACCCTAACACCCTAATACCCTAATACCCTAATACCCTAATATCCCAACACACTAATACCCTAATACTCTAATATTCTTATATCCTTATAGCCTAATACTTTAATACCCTGATACCCTAATACCCTAATAACCTAATACCCTGATATCCTAATACCCTAATACTCTAATATTGTTATATCCTTATAGCCTAATACTTTAATACCCTAATACCCTAATACCCTAATACCCTAACACCCTAATACCCTAATACCCTAATACCCTAATATCCCAACACACTAATACCCTAATACTCTAATATTCTTATATCCTTATAGCCTAATACTTTAATACCCTGATACCCTAATACCCTAATAACCTAATACCCTGATATCCTAATACCCTAATACTCTAATATTGTTATATCCTTATAGCCTAATACTTTAATACCCTAATACCCTAATACCCTAATACCCTAATACCCTAATACCCTAATACCCTAATACCCTAATACCCTAATACCCTATATTCCAATACCCTAATACCCTAAAATCTCAATACCCTAAGACCCTAATACCCTTATACCCTTACTAATACTCTTATGCCCTAATGCCCTAATATCCTAATACACTAATACCCTTATACCCTAATACTCTAATATACCAATACTCTAATGCCCTAATACCCTAATGCCCCAGAATCGTTGAAAATGTTCCTTCGCTGTGATGGTCCACGGGGAACGATTCTTGGGCCTCTTCTTTTTCTATTATATATAAATGATCTGCCTAATTGTCTCCAGCATTCCCAACCAAGGATATACTCTGATGACACTAGTATTACTTTTGCTGGTAGCGATGCTGGAAATAACAGCATCCACACTACGTAGGAAAAATTAGGAAATGCAGCTTTTCTACAGTTAGGCCTACCGTCCACGCTAATCCATCACGAAAGCGAAGCTTTTTGAAAACGCTCTTCAAACCGGAGGAATTTGGAAACGCCGGCTTTGCGTTTAATCTAGTGTGGAAAGAAAACATTTTGAAAATGGTGATTTTCAAAAATGATGGTGTCATGATAAATCATGTGATCCCTACACGCTGTTTCCTCAAACACAAATCCAAAATGACCGTTGATTGTTGCGTTTTTAAATTCCTCCGGCGTAGTGTGTACTGAAAACATTTGATGCGTTTTCAGAGTGAAACCTCGGTTTTCAAATTCCTCCGGCGTAATTTGGATGGGGCCAATATTAGTCTCAACTATCTTAACTTGAAGCCGATTGTTGTTTGTTTCCTTGAATGTGCTATTTATCTTGCACACATTTAAAAAAAAGTACACACTTCTTTGGTTTTATAAAACTTTTTGTACCTGTACAAGACTTTCTGCTGTTTTGGCTGATTCTTTAGCGAGAATTCTAAAGAAGAAGAGATAAATGCAAATTAGTCTCGCATTCGTTTGATATACATGTACACCCTGGGGCAGATTTAACTGGCCGTTGTGGCCTCGTAAGTGGCTTTGTAACGCAAAAGGTAACGTGTTTAGATCGTTGCAGCGTACTTCAAGAGAATCTCTTACCGCAGCATGTCCTGGTGTGACAAAATCAACTACCCAGGTGATTAAGGAGTTACGTTACGCTTTGAGCATCTTGAAAAGTTTAGCCTAGATTTTTCACATTCATCGTTTGCAATCCGTGTTGATTTTCTCCATTCTTAACCATCCTTGTTCCTTTATGGTTTATAATTATCTCTTTCAATTGGTGTTTTATTTTGTATCTTAGTAAACTTTTATTTTCAGGTTTCCTTCAATTTAAAGGTAATTTTGTGCGTGGCTAAAATAACTGAGAATACCGTGACTGAGCTCTAAGTGTCCACAAAAAAAACAACTTATCATCTTACCCAATCATCTTGGCAGCTGCTGCTTGTTGTACAAATATGGGGAGAGGGGCCTGGAGCTGAGGAGCATCAGGATCTGTAATTTACACATGTACATATCATTCATCATTACAATTAGAATGAGTCAGACGTGAAATTATGACCTACATAGTTGAAATGATCAATGAAACCTATTGATTAACTTGATTTTCTTGATTACAAGGGATAAAATCATCCATACTAAGAGCTTCATTAAGGCTGGAGTAAAAGGCCGGGGGTGGGGGAAGGGGTTTCAAAGAGATTGCAAAGAGCTTAACATGAACAAGGAGTGGGGTTGTTTAATAGATGGTGGTTCAGATATACAGTTAGCAATCTGGTTTACTGGCAGAAGGTTACATGTAAATTTGGCAGCCGTTTAGTGTTGCATATCACCTCAAACTGTTGACCTAAATGGGTGTAAAATGTCTTGAGTGTTCGATAGCTCTCTGGGTAGCCTCCCTGGCTGTTAAATTGACCTCAACTACCCCATCCCCCACCCAACCCCTAGGATAACTCCTGAGTATCATGACTTACTAAACTGACAGCATTGCTTCTTGAGTGTTTGATACCCCTTTGGGTAACCTCCCTGGCTGTTAAATTGACCTCAGCTACCCCCTCCACCACTCAACCCCTAGGATAACCCCTGAGTAGCATGACTTACTAACCTGACAGCATTGCTTCTTAAGTGTTTGGTACCTCTCTGCGTAACCTCCCTAACCCGTTCTCCACCCAACCCCTGGGATAATCTCTAGTAAGTAACATTACTAACAAACCTGACAGCATTGCTTCTGAGCTGTCCCTGATTTCATCCTTGGTTGGTTTTAGCAATCCCACCATACCCTGCAGCAATGAGTGCTGGACATCATACTTCATAAGATCTTTAATCAGCTCACAGGCCTCGTACTGAACTTCCAGGTGAAGGGACCTCAGCAGCATCAAGACTGGTTCTACAATGGTTGGGTTGGCTGCTCCGACTATTGGCTGTTACAAGAAAATCGATGAAAACATCAACAATTGCATGTAAATATGCAACAAATATTTCATTGAATTTCATGTACATGTAAATGCTGCTCATCTTAATACTGAAAGACTTGCTGTTGAGAGGGGGGTGGGAATTCAATGCTACCGCACCCTGGACAAAGCCTTTGTATTGTGCCCTTAGACAAGACACTTTTTTACACTTTTTTTTAACAGTGGCTCTCTTCACCCAGTATATAACTGGGTACTGTGACAGGAGAAAAATGTCGGGTAAAAGCTAGTTGAGTCAGAACATGCCTATAGGTAAACAATGGGGCATGGAAAACAATTTAACAATGAAGGAAGTTTCTGTCTTGAAGCTATCTGCTTTGTTTGCAGACAGGTATTTGGTATGACCACACCCACCTGTACTATTCTCAGAGTCTGAGCAGCCATCTGTTGAGCCTTTGGGGACACACACTTTAACAGAGCAATCAATGCCTTGTAGACTTGACCCTCATACTTTGGGTTTCCCTGAAAAAATGTAATATGAGTCATAGTCATCATCATTATGATCAGAACATACAAATGGAGAAGCCCTTCAGACAAGTTGATGTCACAAGCGATTCAGGTCTCTTGAAAACACAAGAAGACTAGTTGAAGGGAGTGTATGTACAGGTAGTTGCACAAGCAGTTCACAGGAAGGGAATATCATACTTCTGGGCAGACAAGTCCTGAGGGGGAAATATCTCTACAAAACTGTTGTCCCTTTCTGAACTGAATGCAAAATAGAATTGTAAGTGATGTTAATAGTTAGCCATGTGTGAGCACCTCTATGATCTAGCTAACCATTTGTATAGGTGCAAGGTACAGTCTGCACGTACTCACATTTGAAAGTTGTTGTAGTAAATTTCTGGCACAGTCTTGTGTCTCCTCGGAATTAGACTTTGCCAGGCATTCTGCAACAGCCCTGATACCTAACCAAATTAAAATGGTTTCATTTAAAATCCATAAATTAAACACTGTACGTTCAATAATGGTTCTCTATTCACACAGTAATTTTTAAGAGTTCAGAGGCATCTTTTTTTAGGGAGGGTATGATCACAGGTTGGCTGGAGTTAAGCCTCCCCCCTACCTCCTCCCCTCCCCCACCCTCACCACTCATCTTGCTGTTGCAATCGTTAGGATTGGAGTATGGATTTACATTTTCTTACCAAAGCTTTCGCAAATGAGTTCTTTGTATCTTCTTCCAGAGTTTGCCACGCACATCAGTAGCTTCAATGCTTGGGCTTTATCCTCCTAAAAATCACATAATGTAAGAATAATGGCTGTCCAACTTCTCCAGATCCATGTTAAATCAGAATATTAGCTTAACTAAAGTTAAGTCAAAGTAAGATTTTGATCTCACTTCTCTCGCATATTAACTAGTTATTAAACTTTTAATCAGAGATTTGGTTAATGGTAGAAATAATTATTTTTGGAATGCATTAAACATAAAGTCAAGGTGTATTAATTCATGCACAGCATGTACTCGTACAGTACCTCTTTTGCCTGCTTAAGACCAAGAATTTCTAAGACAGTGAGAACACCACCAACTTCTAAAAATTCTGCTAGAAATTTATGCCTGAAAAGCATGTAGAATAAAAGAAAAGCATCAGTCATTCTGCATTAGTTAAGAATTAAAATAAGTTGAACAGCCTGGACAGCCTGAATCACAGAAAAGGACTAGGAGAGAGGTTCAAAAGGTCATGACAGCTGTGGGTTCAGACCGATTCATGGATTTTGATCTATTTTGTTATTTTTTGTCCATAAGTTCCTTATGGTTGTGATCATAATAGTTGACAGCAGCCACATATATGCAATCATTATTTAGGATTCGAACTTCAGAGTTTGTATTAAATTGAAAGGCACATACAGGCACTTACCCACTTGAAGATCCAACAAAAATGGTGATAGCCTGAAGCTGGAGTTGAACACATGTTCCAAGCATGTATCTTTATCACGCAAAAAAACACCAGTCAAGGAATAAACTGCACATCTTTTGCTAGCATCCCTTTCTTAATTTTTTTTTTGTTAATAACTTGTCTCAATTCATTGGAAAATAATATTTACTGATATTCCCCAATAATCCAATACTGATTGTCATCATTATCCCCAGCGGGGACTCCCGTATGAAAAGGTTGGGATGCTCTTTGGAAAAATTGAATTAAACTCGTAAAGGAGACCAGTTTAGTCATGGCTTTATTTGGCCCCTAAAAGATACCATTAAAAAGGAAATTTCTTAAAGTGCACCCTTATAGATAGTTTGAATGCTAAATATTGGCATTTTGTCCTGAACACCCTGACATACCAAAATCCGTGATTTATACCCGTTAGTGAGACCAAGAACATCCGAGTCCGAACGCCCCTGGACCATTACAGTGTAAGTTCCCACGTTAAAGTTCTCCCTGGGAATGTATTTAAGCTTAATTAATGTCCATTAATTGCTAGCTTGTGAGTAGACTCTCTTCCAGGGAATGGACAAAACCTTCGCTCGCCTTTTCTCACAGAGGCTGACGGGACATACATGAAAAGGATACGTGAGGCGTAGCCAGGCAGTAACACGGGTGAGAAACAAGCTTGCTGCATGGACAAACTCCAGTTCCAATTCTGGTCCAGTTTTACCATGGTTTGACTTGATAAAATCCTGCAGAATCTTTGATCGAACACTCTTCGACCCATGGTCCCACTGTTGCAATAATTTAGTCACAGCTGCCTGGTCGGTCTTCATTCTTAAAAGCAAGTTAATCGTAATCAATAAAATTCTCGCCATTCTAGAAGCGATCACTCGCCCGCAGTTTACAGTTCAAATCTTATATACGCGGAGTTGACGAGACTTCCACGAAATTCAAACCCAAATCAATAAATTCTAAAAGAATAAGTCGATTTAGCCCCATACCTTTTAAAATGGTTCAAAATAAAGTAAATTACGGTTCACTTCCATGTCCGCCATAACAACCCGTGTCCGCCATATTTGTTGACAATGACAACTGTCTTGCCATACCGATGACCAATATGACTTACGGCTCAAATCCCAGTCCCAGTTCCAGCGCACTTGGCTCTTAGATCTCGAAAGAAATTTTAATGCAAAAACTGAAAACGTATTTCCCAAAGGACGGAAATTGCATTGTTTGGCAACAATTGCTCGTGACGTCAAGTAAAACGCTCTATTCACTTTAATGTGTATTAAATATTACGGCATTTAAAAGCTTGCCATCTCAAGTTCGTTTTATTCCGACATCACCCCAGTTTCAAAATATAAAATAACTCGAGTTAATTTAGTTCTCAAATTTCATTTTTTGGAAATTATGTGTTCCTTGGTCTACGACGGTTTTTATCAGTATCTTTGAAAGCAAGCATGGCCAATAAAACAAGGAAAATGAAAACTCGGTTGCTTTTTATTTCTTCGATACAGCCGCTGTTTAATGACGTTCTCATAAGCAATTTCTTCCAATTTCTCAAATACGTTTTTCGCTTTTGAAATTTTTTTTTTAAATTTCAATCAATCTGGTCCTTTCTACAGACATCGTGGAACCATTGCTGAATATTTTGTGTTTTTTGTAACGATTTTCAGCTGGTAATCATTAATTTTTTTCTTCCGCTGTCGGCAAATTTCTTGTCAAAAAAGCTTTTGTCTCTTTTAGTTTGAGACACAAATATCCAGTCAATTAATTTAACTCCAACTTATTAAGTACTTGCCTGGATGAAACTCTAACATGTGACATTACAAATGGAACTGTTGAGTAATATTTTCCTACGTTTTATTTGTCTTTCCGAAATTTGAAGAAATTATTTTCATTGTTTTTGTTTGGCCTCGTCACGGTTTTCTCTTGTTTCATTTTATCAGTTTTACAATTTGCACTTGATCAGATCCTTGCCCGATGAACTCTACCGAGGAAGTCGAAAACTCTGAATATTTGGCCTTACGTTCCTGGTAGCCACAACAAACGCTAAAAGACCTTCGTCGTTCAGCTTTTGCTTGCAAATTAGGATCCGGTCCCACGCATGTACTTTAGCGAAAGGTTCCTGTAATTAGTAATGAAAACACCTCACTTGGCTGATAAAGGAACCATTTAATCAAGTGGGTGTTTCCAGAATCCAGAATATCTATTGGAAAAACAAGTTCATTTGTCAGTGATGGGTGTTCCTCCATCAAGTAATTCACCTTTGCATTTTCGTGCACTAGACCCAATAATGCCTTGTTAATTGGGAAAACATTCCCCTAGGTAACTCTAATGAACCATAGAAAACGACGGAAAAAATACCTGTGGGTTTTTGCCATTATAGATCAACGCCGAATCAAGAAAAACACAAATGGCCTGTTTATAATTTCAATTAGAAATGATTTTGTTGGCGACAGACCGTACATTCCCAGTGGGAAGTAAGCAACATTAAAACGAAAACAAAACTGGTGAAAATATCACCATATAGTACATGAAACCAATGGCGATCTAACTTGCTGACAAGTTTTTAATATTAGCTATTTTAACACGAAATGTGCCCTGGAAATAAAACAATTAGACATGCCAAATCAATATTCTTCGTACACTTTAGATGGACAGTGTGATTTTAATTCGGTGGTATAAAAATTGTATGCTGCAATTTGAAAGCTTTTCTGAGCAAAACGCGGCAGGAGAATAAGTCCTTTATACTCATATGGCTGACGCTAAAAGCAAATGTGTCTACTGTCATTTCTCAACTGGCGTAATTTGCATGTCGAAATTCACTGTTTGCATAAGCGACAACGGATGACAGCTTTCGTTTATCAACGACACGAGTTGCAAGATGGATTGTCAATATGGCATCTCCTCTCGCTTCACTATTGTTTCTCTATCTCCTCTGAGGCTATGATAGGAGGCGAATCGAAAATTTCCTAAGTAAACTCATAAATTTTTCAACGTTATGGGAAAAAAAAAAACCACTCTTATTGGTGACTATGCACATATATCTTTATTATTTCTTTCAAACAAAGCTTTGGCCTTTGAATGAATATGCGGTTCTTTTTGCCAATATCACCTGTTTTGGAAAATAGACAGCTGTCAATCATGTTTCAGAGAAGTAAGATTAATATCCGTCAGTAGCTGTGCGTTTGTGTGCCTTCATGTTCCCACGAATACCTCGAGGCCAAATGAAGTTTATCATCGAGGATTTTCACGCAACGAATTTCGCAGTTTGACAAGAACACTTTCAATACCACTGCTCAGTCTAACAGTTCGCGAAAGGACAAGGTATTGCGATTTCTCGCTTGGTTGTCTCGCATCTCTGTCTGCAACTATGGATACCGAAAGTGACAGAATTATAATCAACGTTGGAGGAAAACGCCATGAAACGTATGCAAGCACTCTACAAACTATTCCCGATACCAGGTTGGCTTGGCTGGCGGGGAGTTTCATTAACGGGGATACCAAGCAAGAATATTTTTTCGACCGAAACCCTAAAATATTCGGTATCATTCTCAACTATTATCGCACGGGCCAGTTGCACGCTCCCAGGGATTTTTGCGGACCGCTTTTTGAAGAGGAGCTGACATTCTGGGGAATCGAAGAAAAAGAGATGGAAGCGTGTTGTTGGCCGTACTACAGTCAACATCGAGATGCTGAGAAAAATTTGAAAGATTTTGTCGGACCTGAGTTTGAGGATTCGGATGATGACGATGATAATTCGTCCCCAGATTTAGATTCATCGTATCGCCAAATGTCATCGCTTTCATGTTGGACAATCTACCGACCAAAGATTTGGGCTGTGCTCGATGATGCTCACTCATCAACCAGGGCAAAGGTAGCGAAACATATTTAGAAAAACGTAGAATTTGTTTGAATTTTTTTCAGCGAAGTAAAGATCTAAATCCATCCCGAAAACAATCTCATTTTCAATTTTGTCAGTGCTGCTGAAGAAATATTGGATTTTAGCTTCTTAACCGGTATTTCATTCCACTAATCCAGTGTTCTCACCCTTTATGAACCCGCGAATGTTTTAATATTTTCCTACCTTACGTAAAAAATCTATTCTGATAAAACAAGACGCCATGAATTGAATTATCGTAATGCAAGTTGAATACATGGGGAATTATTTATTTTGCCCACGACCTCTGAATAAATACACAAAAACACAACGCCTGTACACAATAGGAATTATTAAATATAAACAGCAATACTAAAATTACGTAAAATATGTTCTTAAGCAGGATTTCGTGGAGTGCTGGCAAATCCAGGGGCTTTTTGTCTAGATGGACGAATTTGGCTAGTTTAATGTTTTTTGAAGAATTATAAATGTGGTTGATGCGATCTTAATCCCTTTAAGTTTAGCCCTGCTTATTTGCACGCAAAACTATACATAAAAGTTTCCCATTGGAAGCGAATTGAAAGGATTAATGCTTAAATATTCCAATATTTTTATAGCCTTTGTGTTTTTTGCGTAGTCATGTTTTTCAATGTCTACTCACTTTGTTCAACTTTTAAATTAGGGCGCCTGGTTTTTACCAGCGGGAATTCTAGATTAAGCGGTCCAGTTCCGTATTTATGAAAACTAATTGTTAGAGAAAATAATTCAGGCTGGGAAAATAGGTAAACGGTCAAAAGTGTAGAGATCTTTCCAGAAACCTCCGGTGTTTAAAAAAAATGAATAAAAATTACGAACAAAAACAACTTGACGAACCTATTAGAGTCTTCCTTTTTTTGTTATGCAGCTGTTTAGTTTCCCAGTGAAGGGTCTTCAGCTGTAGTTTATTTTATCTACCGAAGCTGCTATCAGATCAGTATTGCTTTGTTATTATCTAATCCTTACAAACCTTGGAAGTAGCGAAAGACGTAAAATCGTAAATGGACGAAAATTAAACTGACCTTACAGGCTAGTTTTGCTGTAAAATGAAAAGAAAAGTTTCTTCGTCATGGTGAATCACGCCTCTTTTAACCACTTTGGAATTAATTTTAGTGGCTTGTTGAATTATCTCTTGCAGGAATACTTATCGACCGTAAAACTCAGACAAGATATATATTTACAAATCAAACTTTGAAATTAGAGACGCCAATTCTTGTTTTCTGTATGTGTTCAAGTTTCAATGACGGCCGTAATACCCTTAAGATTTTAACCTCTGCAAATAAATATAAAGACTTATGTATTCTAAGTGGCTAGCCACAACCTACCACATAATGCTCAGAAGCGAACGTGTCAAATTAATTTAAAGCTAGGTTCGCATCGACATCAAATTTGGAAACGAAAGTTCATCTAATAACAAAATTGTTTTTATGCGCGTGCAGTAAATACACACTCTCTTTTTTTTTTTTTATAGAAACATTGTTTTTTTCCGGCCGAGGCTAAATGATCTCATTTTTCTGCCGATTTTAGGCTGAAAAGTATTTTCATGAATATTTTCTTGAAAATATTCCATTGAACATTCTTAGATTACAGCGTATGACGTTTCTGTTTTCGAATGTATTTGGTGTCTGGATGGTGTTAAAGTACGTAATTTTGGAGCCAGCCTGCAGGCATAGAGGCCTGATATGACGCACATAACGTCTTGCAGAAATGTGTTAGCATCAAACATACGGCTAGCGCTGTTTTTGTTGCTTTTTGGCTAGCACTTTTTTTCTCCGTTTAGAGAAAGGAAGAATGTTAAACGGTTTACGTAAATTTAACATATTATTGTATTATATTTACAAATTTTCAACATACAAAATTATATTCTTTTCAAAATTTCATCCTCAGGTTTATTCCTAAAGTATTCTTAAGATTTCGCAAATTTCAGCCCCAATATTCTTATAAAAGATATTTAAAAAAAAGAGTCTAAAGTCTCAAAGACTTTCGCCGCAAGCGTACAATTAGTCCTCCTACGTAGTGCAAATGTGAGCAGAATTCGAATATCTAATTTTTCACAGGATGAATTTGTCACCCCTTATTTACCAGCACCGCACACTGGGAAAACACCCCTTAATATATTTTCTTTAGAGTAAACCGGGCGACATTTCCGGCAATTTCTTAAAATTGACTGAGGTTCCGGGAAGAATTTGAAAAGAATGCCTGATGTACCACATTTTAAAGGTACCTCAAACAAGGAAAAGTTGTCGCAATAAATTATATGAACGGCTGCGCGGAACTGTAAGCGGAAACAATTTTCTTGGGCCCCCAACCAACACTTCCGCATTTGCGCAATCAAAATCAAGAAACAAAAAGGTAATGGAATAATGAAAGCGTATGGTCAGCGAAATTTTTGGACGTTGCAAAAACTATTAAGACGAAATCCGAGGGAAAATCAGCTTTTAATGGACAAAAACCCTGTACTAGAGTAACTTTAAGTATATTACAATCCTTTCTGTATTTTCTAAAAGCCAAACATATAAATAATCGCTGAAATAACATCAATAAAATTTACCATGGGGACTCGAGAAAATGTGAAATTTCAAAGTTCAGGGAAACTGTCACATCACAGGTAAAATTTCATCATCAGCTTCATTTCACCAGTACCTCATGTTTCATATGAACTTCAAAATTTGTTTTCGTCATTTAGTGTTGTTAGAAATGATTTCTTTTGAGAAGATATGTAAAACACTCGTACAGAAGTTTGTAACACAATGTAAATGACCTTGGTACAATTTTTGTCCACCTCAGTTACTCGAACTTATGTTAAGAAGGAGGATTCCTTCTTAACAATGTTGAATAAATGGTTCAGTGGTAATGATGATAATATGAACTAGATTGTCCGATAATGCCAATACATACATACATACATACATACATATACATAATATTTCGCAGGATGACCCCTTTTGTTAGAAAAAAAAAACACTTGTAAAAAAGATTCCTGCTGCTAGATTAAAAGAAAAGGGATTCGAAGATTTTCTTCAGTTTTCCTATATATGACGTATTATTTAAACTCATCAGTCGTGCATACGAAAACTTGCACACATCATTACCCGCCTTACAATATATAGTTTTAGAGCGAAATATTTTCTATCCCTGATCGATGATGCCGTCGATCGGCGAAAGCTTAAAACATTGACTTGACAAAATACAATAATCAAAGGCCTCACTCGAAAGAACACTAGATTATCCAACATGCCACGTACGTACTGAAGGACAACATTCAACGCTTTCTAAAACTTGCGCCCTGTTACATATAGCACATGCAAGTTGTTGTTCATAAAAACGGAGCATTAACCAGGATAAGACAGCGTGGCCGAGTGGTGAGGCCGCCGGACTTGAAAACCGGACGTCGCGGGTTCAAGTCCCGCTCTGACCACTTAACTGGAGTTGTTTCTTGGTAGAACCTAGTTCAGCTCCTCGGTCATGCTTGTAAATAGCCAGCTGGTCTGCCTCTCATCAGTTGAAATTTTTAACCCTATATGTTTATTTGCAATACTTCTTTCTTTCAGTTTAAGTGGCATGTCTGAAAACTAGCTAGCTGTAGCCGAGTGCATCGCAACTATAAACTCGACGTTTAACTTTTTTTTAACAAAAACTTTCTCTGGTTAAAAAGGAGTTAAAACATGAAGTTTCGCCTATCAGTCTTAAACGATTAAAAAATGTTTTAAATGTTTTTAATCTTTTTAACAAGAGAACGTTTTTCATTCTTACTATAAGTTTTTGTTGTTGTTTTGTTTTCTATGGTTGTTCGGGCGCAGTTTTTTTTTTTTTTTGGTGTTGTTGTTGTCCAGCTCATCAATTTTTTAAGAAACAGTTTTGCAATGTGCTCAGCCAAACCAACCGAAAACAGTAGTTCAATAGAACACTTAACAAAAGACTAATAAATATACCTGCCAATAAGTACAGTCTCCAGCGGGGCCGTGTTAACGGGTGGCCGGATTCAAGGGGTTCTTTAAATAACAAACTGACTGACTGAGCTTTTGTTTGGGCCAGAACAAAGCGGCCGCAATTACGATGTGGCCCTATTAACGGGGTGTTCACTGTATCTACTTTAGGAACATTCAACCCAACTTACCTTCACATTTAATTTGTTTATTTTCTTCAGGTGTTTGCTATGGTGTCCCTGTTCATGATTCTAGCCTCGGTTGCTTCAATGTGTGCCTGGTCGGTTGTAAAGGACCAAAATAATAAATACATTCAAGGGTTTGAGTACGCCTTCTGTGCCTGGTTCACGCTGGAATTTGGAGCCAGGTTGATATTTTGCCCCGACAAGATCGCTTTCTTTAAGGAAATCATGACCTGGGTCGATTTGATATCCCTGCTTCCATTTTACGAAAACATCATTCTTGGTAGTGGAAACCTAAACTTTCTGCGAGCGGTGAGGCTCATACGAACATTCCGTGCATTGAAAGTGTTCGCTTTTACAAGCGGTTTGCAGATTATCGTGCAATCGCTCAAAGCGAGCTTCAGAGAACTTATCCTTCTTTTGATAATCTTGCTAATTCCAGTTGTGGTATTTTCCAGCGTTTTATTCGAGATCGAAACCAAACAGGGAAGTGAACCTGATTTTCAAAGTATCCCAGAAGCATTTTGGTGGGCGATTATCACCATGACAACCGTTGGCTATGGTGACATGGTGCCTAAGACAATCCCTGGTAGGATCATTGGTGGAATATGCGCCATTTTCGGCGTGCTCATCGTAGCTTTGCCTGTCTCTGTGATAGGAAATAATTTCTCCACGTATTACTCCCATGCACAAGCCAGGCTTAGCCTGCCGAAGAAAAAGCGACGCTTAATTTGTGAGGCTAAACTGCGCGTGAACCCCAGACATGGTCAGTCACCAACCAGCACCATGTCATTACAACAGAACGGGCAATTGCCGGAGGTGTTGACCCAGGAGTCAAGAGAAGGCTCGGCTACTAAGTTTAGGCGCTATCATCGACGCTCTCGAAACACTCTTTTTGCTCATGGTGATGTGTATATCGGTCCAAGCAAGTACGAGAGAAACAAGGTTCGTCGAGATGACACGTGTAATGAAGAAGAAAATGAAAATGAAAGCGAGAGCGAAACAAAGATAGAAAGTCCAACCACAAAAGAAACAGTGGGAAGCGGGGATGTGGACAACAGATCAGAAAAGATCGCTCATTTGCCATCGGCTCATGAAATGGAGGAACTTCCTACTATTTCCGCCCTCCCCAGAAATTTCACACTTATAAACTCGATGCACGAGAGCGAGGAAATCATTGAAGAAGACACGAGACCTCCGTCGGTTCTTTCCGAACGCCGTGGAACGAAGAAGAGAAAGAAAATGTCCACCTCCACCATCCCTTCATCCCGTCGTAAAAAATCCAGTAGCTCTCTATCCAGGTCATGGGTGGAATTAAAAACTGAAAATTCTCCGCAGAAAAACGGGCGCCCCCAAAGTTCCCGCGGGAACAAGGCCCGCGTGTCACCCGCGGACGCGCGGGGGAGTTATAAAAATCCTGCTTTGGAGTTAGAAAGTCCTCAAAGTTTATCCCCATCTCAAATATACTCTGTGCCCTCGTTTAAAGTTGGCGTTGAGATGACTCGGTTGGACAAGGCTGGTGTTCTAAACTTACCCAGTGAAAACAGTATTGATAAGAGTGAAATGTCGTCGACGGTGGTGAGGGATAGCCACCACAGAACGGGAAAGGGAAACGAGCATGACCTTGCAAACGGATTTAAAGCTTAATTAATTTAAAAGCTCACTGTTTAAGTCAGTAACGCACCTAGCGGTCAAATACAAAAGCCCAACGATAATAAAATTTCCCGCGAGAGACTCCCATACGGAAAGGACGGGGGTGCTTGTCGGAAATTTTCTAAAAGAAAAGAAGTACCAAGACCTTGTTTTGTGGGCGTGATTGGAAATGTTTCTCACCCTTAAGAGGTGCTAATTCTAAAGCAACAAATCAGTGTCACTGACTTTTTTCGCGAAAGCTCCTGCTGTGGGACCTTTTGAAGCTTGACGCCTACCAAATCCACTTTTTTAACCCCTAAAAGGTACGACAAACATCCCGGTCCTGTTTAAATGGGATTCCCCGGGTACAAGTTCAGTGTCGAGAAAATTTAATGAAATGAAGACTATGTTTAAGCGCAAAAAAATTTCCAGAGAAACAAGTGACGAAAATAGGTCGATAATAATTT